AAAAAGATAGCTATTGAATAAATTAATACCTCAGATTTAATTCGAACTTTTCGATTAGACACCGTTTTTTTGCATGGCTGCATGGGTGTTTTCATGGTTTTCCCCACATGTAACGTGTATATGAGTCATTTAGAAAGTCCTCCACGAAGGCATCTCCTTTTTTTGGGGGGGATATAGCTCTAGTGGGCTTTTCCATAATCAGCTTAACCGAAACCATTTTACGAAGTATGAGCAAGCACTTTTATTGACGCCTTCAAAGCTTGTCAGAAGTCCTAACGATTATAGATCAGTAAATAACACCTTCATTATTTCAATGAGGCAAATTAAAATAATGAAATAATTCATGTTAAATATGCATGCAGTTAGCAATTTATATCTTGCATTTTTAGTCGCTTTGAATCAAATCTGAGTTTGGACATTTTGAGAGTTTTGCCTTTCAACAGAGAAAAATTAAAGAGGGAATTTGCTTAGGAAACCAGAATTGTAACTAATGAATATTTTAATAAAATCTGTTGTTTACAAATTACCAATTAAAATTATTTCATGAAATATCTATATTTAAGACAAATAAAAGAGAATTGAATTAGTCCTTACAGAATATAATTATTGAAAAGAATCATAAAAGTGATTTTGATTCAAAGTGATTTTGATTTTAATCGCTTTTAATGTTAACAACCATATTCTATCTGCACAATTATTCAGAAAATAAAATTTGAAATAAATGAAAGTGAATATGAATTAATCCCTACTTTTGAGAGATAAAACACACTGTGTGATATTAAATGCATATCGTATGCCAAACAGGAAAATATTTTTCTACTTAAGAAAGAACCTTATAAGCTAAGCTTGAAACTCATCTCGAACTCAAAACGAAAGACAATGTTCTTGTCTCACATCTTTTTCTGGAGCTTCACTTTTTCACAATCCATCTTAGTTTCTCTCAGATCTCGACAAATGAAAACATTACCAGTTATTTCCATAAAAGAAGTTGCTTAAATAAGCAGTTTTTCAAAGCAGTAGCATGTAGTGTGTTTTGCGTAATTGATATTTCGCTTTTAATATAAACAATCCGAGACGAAATGCTTGTATTCAAAGTTCAAATGTTGCAGCAATTCACGTACATGCGAATGAAAATATCGTATGATTTTTAATATGGAAGTTCTGTTCATATTCTAGAGATGAATAAAATAAAAGACTTTGCACCGCTCGAAATGCAGTCAGGATTTGAACTCATCAAACAGCGCGAAAGGGAACATGGGTGCCGATGTTCGAAGGCGCTTTCAATTCGTTATTCAGTATAAATTCTATATTCTATTAAAACGCGTCAAGTAGTTTGCTGTATTGCTTAAACTGAAATTAGGATAATTAACTTTTGCTAAATTTTAATATTGATGATTAAAAAATGTCATATAATTTGCACTGTTTTAAGCAACTTTTCGATACAGTACAAAGCTCTAAATTAATAATGGAAAATAAAAATTTGTTATTGATAATGGTGGAATGTTTCAGGACCAAAGCTTAGGTACATTGACCGGATAAAAATAACGTAGGGTATTAAAAGATGAACTTGAAATTTATTATCGACCACTGCGTGACCTTGTGGTATAACAGATAGTACGTTCAGCTAACATATAAGTAAGCTTGTGTTTCAAATCCTGGCGAAGCATAGCTAGATTTTTCACGTTTCTTAATCTGATTTCAAGCTAAGTTAATAGCTTCTTCTATTGTAGTGAAAGATAGCTTACCATGCGGCTTGTTTCTGCTGAAGGCCACAGCAATTCCTAGGCCATTTGCTTTTCAATGACGATAACGGACTTTATCATGACTATTTGAAGAACACAACAGTCTTGTTTGAAAGAAATGTTTTGGTAATAGTATAGGATAAGACAGGACGCTTACATGCTAACATTATTGTGGAGACAAAATCGACTTTTTTTTAGTTGTACATTTTAGCTTTAATTGTAACCAAGCAGGAATGAACTTTTAATTTATGACTTTGGCCCGCATGCTTATTGTAACCACGGTGATAACTTGGAGAGACGCCTGAAATACCATTAGAGAAGCATAGCTTGAAAAATACTTCAGCAGCAGATTTAATAAATAGATAATAAATAATATAAAAATGTCAAACAAACATACATATTTAAAAATTCAAGAAAATATTTCTTCTGCTGCGAACAATTCAAATGAAAATACATCCCCGATCAAATTTTTAATATTGATTTATGCAAATATTAGTGTATGTTATCCTACTTACACATATGATAGAAATTTTCACCTATTACAATTTTTTTTTGAAATATAGCTTTTGCCCACAAATATAAGAAATGAAAGAATGTACTGAATAGAACGTTATTAAACAAAATGTACCTACTAATAATGTCGAGTTAAATATTTAGCCTTTTGTATTCCAGGGAAACAAAGCACAGCATGAAATATGACTCTGTTTATATAATAATAGTATGCATTATAAAAAGTACCAAAGAAAGTAAAAAACTGCTTTGCATTTTTATATCAAATTATAAAATTGACATTGAGAAAATTTAACAGACGTTAAAATGTTATTTCTCACGCCTTCTTAGCATGCCTTCGTAGTGTAGTGGTCAGCACGCTCGGCGTGCTCATTCGAGAGGCCCGTGGTTCGAGTCCCGGCGAAGGCGTTGCCCATTTTTCATCTCTCCTTGCTTCAAAAATACCTAATGTCTCTACAGTGTGATGAAAATAAGTTGTCTCAATATGGATTAGAAATAAGGAGGTTAAGTAAAGAAAATAACCTGTTTCTGTTATAATGTATTTCTCCCGCCTTCTAACATGTTCGTGCTGTAATGGTCAGCGAACTCGGCGCATATTCAAGAAGTCCGAGGTTCGAGTGCCAGCGAAGGCATTGCTCATTTCTTCGATTTCCTTGCTTTTAAATAACCTAATGTCTCCACGGTGACCCCCCAGACTAGAAAAGGTGGTGGATGATGATTCTTCACCACCAGGATTTGGCAATTGGATCCCTAATCCCCAGCCATCCTCTAAAAGGGGGAGTATATAAGGTATTTCTTTCGCCTTCTTACCATGCTTTCATGGTGTAATGGTTAGCACATTCGGTGCGTATTCAAGAGGTCCGATATTCGAGTCCCGGTGAGAATATTGCTCATGTTTCCACTCTCCTGCTTCCAAATATTCTAATGTCTCTACAATGTAAGGGAACATCTTAATGAGTTAAAAAATAGCAAATTAAATAATACTTGTAAAGTAGACTACAATAGCAATTGGTGACACAGTAGGAGTTAGTTTATAACTATAACACGAAGCATGGCTAGAATTTAGTCCTGTTAAGGAAATAAAAATTTTAGATTACCTTTTTGTGCAGAATTTCATAACTTTCATTCAGTAAAATGATGGCCGAGAGTTTAAATTTGAATCTCGCTGCTAGAAAACTGAGATGCATAGAATAATTTGACGATGAAACATTTTATCGCATTTAGTATAAAGTAATTTTTAAAGAAGAAGGTTGAATTTACTGAGAAAAATACAGCAGTTCTTTATAAAATTATCTAAACGGCGATCTGCATCCCGCTTGATTGACCGTTTTATTGCTAGAGGCTTGGACGTCCACAGCTGGTACCACATTCATCTTATAATTGCACCATATTATTTTTTTCCATTCTTGAAGTTATATAAACAGCGTCGTTTTTGTACCACTTCTACTCGAAATATGTTAGTGTTACGACAGCATGTCCGGATTGCAATTGAAATTTTACTCGATTTGAAATTAGGCAAAGCAACAACCATAGTTTGGAGGAGATTTCCAATAGAACTCTATCGGTCTCAGGTTCCTCTTTGTCAGCAGGAAAAAAAAATGGGTCTCCTGAAGAAGACAGACCTGGAATATATTTGGAATGCACATGCTCACTTTGAACAGCAGTAAGGGGAGCTTGCTTTTTCTGGCATGGAAGCGTGGCCCCAATTTTTGCACAAAGATGCACAGCCCATGCACAGTTTTACACAGAAATAAACTACTTATATTCATACTGAGGACATAGCTCGGATTTAGCTCATAATTGGTTTCTACATGGATCCGAGGTCCCTGATTCCGATTCTGGCATTATTTCCAACCGAGGATGTCCTCGGTTCTTCGAAAGTCCTCGGTCAGAAGGTGTGTATACATATTTACATCCTCGATTTACACCCTAGGCGAACGACCCCTCCAAAAAAAAATTTAAATTTAAAAAAAAAGTTGGTGGTGGCTTTGAGGTTTGGATTTTAGATCATTCTGGATATTAGATGTCCGGATCTCGAACTTTGCACTGTATACAAAATTTGTAATACATGATGTCAAAGCACAGTCATAAAGTCTGCTCCTTGTTTTCATACGGCACTGGATGATCTTCAGAAATGTTTTGAAATATTACATTTTCGTCATTATTATTTTATCTGTTAACTATATAACTGAATAAAGAACATTGCTTAGTCTCCAAAGTTCTACTATAAAAACTGGCCCAAGTCTGAGCTTATATTTATTGAAGCTTTTTATATGCTATATCCATAACTTATATCTGCTGATAATGTAACTTAAAAAGCATAATATTTTCATAACAAATTTTGTTGGAATAACTGTCACAAGTCTGGTGAAATACTCATCAACATTCATGGTTGACATGAAAATATGTTAGTACCAATTTTATTTTTATGTATTTATAATAAAGCTTTTATTTACTTTAGCACTTGTAAAGTTTGTGACACAAATTCTAAATTATTTATTATTTCCATAAAAAAAGGAAAGTAATTTTATATAATGCATAAGAATTTTTGGTATTTCTTTGTTAAAGCAACTACTGCACATAGTCCCCAAAAATGGCAAATTAATTTGCTAATCTGTAATCACAAATTTTGAATATCATCATCAGTTTATATGGTGTCTGCTGTAACAAAGAAGTTCCAATTATTTATTTTCTTATAATTTATATGGCATGAATATGGTGAAAAAGGTATTTTAAATTGCACAATTTAATGAATTATATTACTGTGATTATGAAATATGCATTTTTTTTTCCCTCATAGGTCTCTTCTATACTTTGTCTGGAAGAGGGCAGCGCATTGACTTTGGATGGTAAAACAGAAAATAATTTCATCTCATTCTTAGTATTTGTCAAAGCACTATGCTTCACAATTTTAGCAGGACGTAAGAATGCAGGAGGTAATAAACATACAAATCTAATGAAACTTTCATTTTAATATGCTTTTTACACAAAATGTACAACAAAAACATAAATTTGCATGTCAAAAAGTATTGGCAAAATCATACAACAAAAATGTGGGAACAAAATTTAATACTTTTTCTAGGTTCAATAAATTTTCAATTGGATTTATGTCAAGTGATTGAGGCAGTGTCTTTAACTGGTAAGGAGTGTTATAGAGTAACTACTTTCAGGTAAGGTTTGCTGTATGCTTAGGGTCATTGTCTTGTTGAAACACAAATAATGTTCCTGAGCCAAATTTTTGGGCACTGAATTTCAAGTTATGGCACAATATGTCAATATACGTACGTGCTGTCATAATACCATCAATGAAGCACAGATTACCAGCTCTGTTTGGGAGAGGGTTGGTGCCTGCCATACAACCTCAAACTACAACGCTCTTTCCGCCATATTTCACAGTCAGTGTTAAATGATGTTTCCCCATTTCCGAACTTGGCTTTCTCCACACATATTGTTGTCCATCACTCCCAAAAATGTTAAACTTTGATTTGTTGGAGAAAATAACTGTTCTAAAGCTCATCTGCTAAAATAACATGACATTTTGCAAAATCTAATCTCTTTCTCCTGTTTATTTCTGAAATGAAAGGTTTTTTTCTAGCTGGCCTTCCATAATAACTTCCTTCAAGTAAAACATTCCGTTTAGTTTGTACACTAAAAGTCTTATGAGAAGTTTTAGCAACATCTTTGGCTAACTGGGGTTGCACTTATTTTGGGGTTTTTCTTAACCTCTTTGATAATGTCATGTTTTTCTCTTGCAGAAAATATTCGTGGCTATCCACTTCTAATCTTATTTTCCATCGATCCTGTCTCGAACTTTTTTACGATACTTTTAATGGTAAATAAACATTAAGTTAGACCATTTCTCAGCTGAATAATCATGTTTTTAACATTGAAGTCCAGTTCTTCCTACTTCGAAGCCATTTTATCACAGTATTAGCAAAATAATGTTTTAAAATGAACTCCAAACTTTATACTAACAGGGTTTCTTATTAATTAAGACACAATAACACGCCGAATAAATACTAATTCAGAAGTCAAACAACAAAAATCAGCGTTAATTTACAAAATTTTCACAGGACTAGTTTCGATGGTTTTACCGAACCATCATCTTCAGCTGCAAAACCGCAAATAAACAAGATAAAAAATAATGATTAGATAAGATAAGAAAGCCTGGACAAGAATAAGCAAGTGGCGCCATCTGTTGGCGAAACCAGAACTAAAACATAATTTCTCTAAAAGCCGAAGGCAAATTTGGATTGGAATTAGGATCGTTAACTAGAACGGAAAGATTTTTATGAATGTGAAATGCCTCTAGAAAATCCAGTTCTCCAATGGAAGATGTTTTTTGAATAATTTTGGCAGCAGAAAAATTGAAAGTGTGATTTTCGGACCAACAATGTTGAGCAACAGAAGACTTCTGTGTTTCCTTTTTTCTAACATATGCCTCATGTTCTTTGACGCGAAATTTTAAGGCTCTCTTAGTTTGGCCAATGTAAATTAAATCACACTGGCAAGGAATCCTATAAATACCCCAGGAATTCATATCCGGAATGGGGTCCTTGAGTATAGAAGTTGGAATTTTATTGATGGGAGAAAAACAACCCGAAAGTTAAATTTCTGCAAAATATGTGCAACTTTATAGCTAATTGATGGAAAAAGGGAATGACAACAGAATTTTTATAATCTCCTAAAATAAGAGTGTGGCTTTTAGTGTGTTGAGATGAGAATTTTTTAACTGCTTGATTAATAATGTTGGGTGAAAAGCCCCTGTCAATAGCTATTGCTTTTAAATAATTTAGTTCTTCATCAAGGGCTAGTTTGGAGGAGCAAACTTGAAGAGCACGGAAAACATAGGAATAAAATGAAGCTAACTTTTGTTTAGTCGGATGACATGATTTAAAGTGTGGTGGAAGGCAAACCGATGAAGGTTTACGGTAAACTGTAGTACTGAAGTTGGATGTGTTTGTTACGTGTGACCAGAATGTCGAGAAACGGAAGAGAATTGCAAGTCTCAAGTTCAAAAGTGAACTGAATAGCAGGATCAATAGAATTCATTGTTGAAAGAACTTTATTTAAATCATCTTTATTACCTTCAAACAGGGTAAAAGTATCGTCTACGTAGCGGAACCATGCCGGGAAGTTTAAAGTTTCAAACAATTTTGATTCATAATAATGCATGTAGATATCAGCCAGGATGGGACTGAGGGGGCTTCCCATGGCTAATCCCTCAGTTTGCTTGTAATATTTATTTTGGAAAACAAAATGTGTTTGTTTCAAACAGAGTTGAGTGAGAGAAATTAGCTCATCAATTTCGATGCAAGAGAAATGAAATTCGCGAAGTCTGGTTTCTAGACATCTTAATGCACCCTCCACTGGGACATTGGTGAATAATGATTTACATCAAAAGAAACCATGAGTAAATTACGAGAGAAATGTTTTTAACCTTTTTACAAACTCTATTGAATTTTTTATGGGTAAATGTTATTGTCTAATAGAGTGGAAAATCTAGAAACTAAATATTTAGCTAATGATACGAGGCAGTACCTAAATTTGATACAATAGGGCGGAAAGGAATACCACTTTTTATGAATTTTGGGAAGAGCATATAATCTGGCACAATGTGCAACAGATGGGATAAGCGAATGTTTTAAGTTGCTTGAAATGATTTGCGAAGATTTGATCGCAGTTTTTATTTTGGATAAGTCCGAAGGTGAAGGATCTTTAGGGAATCGGATTATATGGTCCTTCGTTTAAGAGTTTTTTAGTGACACCATCGATGGAAGTGTTTTATCCATGACGACTATCTGGCCACTTTGTCGGCCTTTGAAATGACAATATCCGGTTAGAATGAATCTCGCGCATTGTAGCTCTTTCTCTCGCAGTTAGATTTGGTTTCAAAGGTTTATTATTGAATTTCACATTATGAGCGATAAGATGCCTAATCATTTCTTTCTGTGAATCTGAAACTTTACTGAACTTGAAAGCTTTTTCGATAGGAGCCAAAATCTTTGGAATCGAGGGTTTACAGGTTTGTGAGAAGTTAAAATTATATTTTAGAATTCTCTCTTGTTCTTCTGAAAGACTAACATTAGAAATATTAACTATTGGCTTGATGTTTACAATGGGAAGATTTTTTGAACTACTTGGACTGGAAGACTGTAAAAGAAGTTTTTTCGAATTTAACTGCAAGGGTGTTTTTATGACGGTTACTGCATTCTCCTTCTAGACCAAGACTTTTGTTCAAGGGCAGTGAATTTTGGATATGTTTTAGCGAGTTCCAGATGAAGCTTATAGAGTTCATGTTCAATTTTGGACAATTGTTGCGTGTATCCCTTATCACGGACCGAAGTAAGGCAAGTTTGCAATTTACAGAATTCTTGAAACGCGACCTCGAAGGTTTTTTGATTAGATTTGATTTGAATAAAATTGGGGATCAATTTTTTACATTTACATTTAAGTAAAAAGTCAAGATGATTCAGGAATTTTTGCCGTTTCAGGCGTAATTTAGTGAAACGATTAACGGATGAAGGCTGATAAACAATGCAGAAATCAACTAAATTAACTGAGCAATAATAAAGTACACACAAAATAGCAGAAAAATCCCTCACTGAAATAAATAGAAAACAAAATGTTTGTAAAACAAAATGTAACAAAATGTTAAACATAACATTTTTCAAGTTATGTTTGTTTATGTTTTGTACATTTGGATATTGTGCTTTGCTTGTCTGATTTCATGCATTTTGCTTAGCAGTTAGAACTTTGCCAATACATTTTGACATGCACATTTACGTTTTTGTTGTATATTTTGTATAAAAGACACATTAAAATGAAAGTTTGCAAATGAAGTTTGCATTAGGTTTGTGTACTTATTACTTTCTGTGTTTGTTATGTTCAGCTAAAATAGTCAAGTATTTCCTTTGTAGTTAATATGATCAATTATAGGCAATTACCAATACTTTTTTTACCCACTGTATATATGTGTGTGTGTGTAAAATATAATAAAACACGATAGCTATGTTAAAAAATAATTGGCAACCATAAAATTGACTATTTTACATTTGGTGTTCTTCCCAATAAGTATATCTTTTCTCCCAAATTCAAGATCTTTCCAATGTCGATAACACAGCTTGAAAAAAGGAACTAAAATCTAAAAGTTACCAATCACGACTTAGCTTTACATATGCACCTATGTAACATAAATACTGCTTCATGAGCAATTACGCCTCCCTTTTCCCCCAATTTCTGCCATGCAAACAGCTCTGTGCTGCTTATACTTTCCTGTTTAAGATGTTTATGTCATACTTTTGAAACCAGTGTGCATAAAAATTATTGTATTCAACTATGATTGAAAAGTAATTTTTCTACCAAAGAGATGATTTGAAATGCGTAGAAATAAAGATGGTTATTCTTCAATTCAGTGTTGTTAGCTTCCTCTGTATGCTTTTGCACTCAGCCATATCTTGGTCTTGTGTTCTGAGCTTTTGATTGTTATTTATTATTTTTAAATGATGAAAACAGAATTCCTTTTTATTTTTATACTTTTTCTCTTAAAAAGGCTTTTCTGTTGCTAAGCCTTTTCTTTTGCCTCTTTCTATGCTAAAAATAATAACTGTGCTTGTAATAAATTTATGTAAACTGCATCATTTCAAAATTAATCATGCTAATTAGATTCTTATTTAATGTTAATAATGTAGGTACTTAATGACACTTCAAACAATAGTAATGTTGAAATTTTAAAACTGATACCTATAGTAATTAGTCAGAATAAAATTTAATGTCTTGATGACGTCTTCATACTATGATCTGTGACTTTGTTTTTTGCTTCAAGTAAATTAAGGATTTTTTTTTTTTT